TAGAAAAATTATGTTACATTTAATTACAGTTCATATAACCTAAAGCGTTTAATTTAATATGATTAATCTTCATCCGAATTTGTAAAATCCGAAAGAACGAACAAAATAAAATTTAATTTCTAAATATAATAAAATATTCCAAAAAAAATTGACTAGTTACAGTTCACAGTAATCCAAAATCATGAACTCGGATTATAAATCCGAATGAAACCTAGTTTCTGTAAATTGCAAACTCTCTGATGAATTTTTTTTCCTACAAATTATAAAATATACATACTTCACTCAAACTTTCAAAATTCAAAAACATTACCCCTATACCATAATATGGTGTGCAAATGCAATGCACCTGGGTAATACTATATATATGTGTGTGTGTGTATATATATATATATATATATATATATATATATATATATATACTAGATGTTACATTCGTGCGGGGTAGATCAATGTGTTTGAATCACAACCTTTGTAATAATAATTATTAAAATTTTAGAAACAAAAATATCATGACATAATACGCGAAAAATAAAATTCCCTACTAAGATAATTTAAATAAGATGTAGAGAAATGAAAAATTGCATAACTTCGATCGCACCATGTAGACATTCTATTGTAAATTTTTGGTGAGCAGTGCTTCTTCACAATTAAATCATCAAACTGAGTGATCTAAAAACAGTTGATAAATATTTCCGCAGAAAAAGAGCAAAACAACCATAAATAATTAAAAGATTGAAGATAGAGTCAAAATATGAATAAATTCAAAAGATGAGAATTCCACAAATTTTCTTAATAAAAAAATTCATCGGAATTATTGCCAAGAGCTTGACAAAATGAAACACGTAACAGGGAGTGGAAAGGATTTTGAGAAGGAGTGGAGAGGAAGTTGAAATATATATACACACCATGATCATAAGGATTAATAAAATGGTACTCCCTCCGTCTCATAATTATTGTCCAGTTTTACTAAAATGAAAGATTTTATTTTTCGTCAAACTTAACTATATTTTACCTTGAACAACCGGATATACCCCTACATAAATAATTATTTAACCACAAAGATTTTATGGATAATGTTTTTTACTAAGGACAAATGTGTAACTTGATCCATAAAAAGTCAAATTGGACAATAATTTTGGGACAAAATTTTTTGGGCAAAGTGGACAATAATTATGGGACGGAGGGAGTATCTTTTTTAAATTAGTAATAATTAATATCATACTTTGAATTTGGATTATTTTTAAAATTTAAATTATATAACTCCAATCTTTTTCATTAATAATTCGTCATAAGTTTAGGAGGTCATCATTACCGTAAAACATTATCATAAAATCAGTATAACTTTTGAATTTTGATTTAGTTCATTTTAACCACATCTTAATTATACTAAATAATGAATTTGGACGTGATTTCAATAAATAATGAATATGACCAGGATTTTATCCTTTTTCTTTTTTGGCAGTATCCGTACATTAAATATAATCATTTAAAATAGAATTGGTGTATTTAATATTAATTAATTTTGGTAACTATGATGATTGGGTTAATTTAATATTATGAATATGTGATAGGGACCATTGGCATAAATTTTAAAACTATTTTTTATTTGATTTTTAAGAATTTGCCACGATGTAGGAATTCTCCTTAAAACCTCTTACTAGTTTCTGTATTAGTATAATAATGATATAATAGATAGATGTCATAATTTAATGAAATAATATTAAGTATTTTATTGCTTTGAATAGTTCATCTTACAAAATATGCTTTAAAAGTGCGAAACATAGTAGTAGACAATTTTTAGGTAACAAAATCTTATAAAAATTAATATTTGAGTAAACTACTAACCAATTATATATTTTGATTCATGAATCAGCTACTCAAATTTGAGTCTTACTTTCAATTTTTTTTTTTTTTATCAAATCTTTTGATTAATGAATCTACTTAAATTTTTGTAGCCACCAAGCATTTATTTATTATTATTTATTACGCTAATTAAGATTGGCAAAATTGCTTTGGCATATCATTCTTATATATAAACAGTGAGGTCGCCAACCAAAACTCGTATTTCTGAGGGGAAAAAAAGAAGAAGCAAGGTTTTGTTATCCTTTTCTTTTCCAACAATCATGGGTAGAAATTTTTATTTTGCCTTATTCATTTTGTCAACGATTTTTAGTAGTGGTTATGGGCAAGAAAAATACAAGGTTAGCATTGTCAGTCGAATCAATGGCGATGTTATGGCACATTGTTGGTCTAAAGATGATGATCTTGGAAATCGTACTTTTACACTTGGTGAGTTCTTTTTTTTTTTCCCTTCTCGAAATATTATTACCTTAACGGAATGGGGTGCGAATCGTTTGATGTAAGTAAATAAACTTCTGAAAGATTATTCCCTCCATTTCTTTTAAATAAGCATTTTTCCATTGTCAATACATTGTTTAAAATCTAAGGTATTTATCACATGTAAATTTATAAAAGAGTATAAAAGAGAATAAAGAGAATATACTTTAAAAAAATTAAAAATAAATTGAATTTATAAAAATATACTATAATGGTATATAAAAAAAATGGTATATAAAAGAGAATAAAGAGAATATACTTTAAAAAAATTAAAAATAAATTGAATTTATAAAAAGATACTATAATGGTATATAAAAAAAATTATAAAAGAACAAATTAATGTGATTGTGATGTTTTTTTTTAATGGAATGTAAAATAAAGTTCACTATTTTGCTGTACAGTGAACAAATTTGATTGTGGTTTTTTTTAATCTTTTCTTTTAATTATAGAAATAAACATCATTAATTTGTTGGGAATTTGCCCAACACGATAAGGGTATAAAGTTGAGAAAAAGGAAAATAACTTCTTATATTTAATTTTCCTAATTATTATTATTATTATTATTATTATTATTATTATTATTATTATTATTATTATGTCTGGCAGGCAAAACTTGGGACTGGAGTTTCAGATGGTCATACTTCCCTGGGACAACATTTTGGTGCGACTTGACATGGGGTCCACACCACCGGAATATGGCGGTGTTTGACCTTCGTCTGGCCAAGAATTATTGTAGTCTCGTCCATCTGTGCCATTGGGAGATCTTGACAGATGGTTTCTGTATTGCTTCAGTTGAAAATCCCACCCCTAATCAGTGTAACAAAATCAACAAATGGGATGAATAAGCGCATGATCAACCGTCTAGATTAAATTATCTTCGATTTTATAATTTCATAATGTGTATTGATTTGCTATCTTGATACTAAATTTATGCAATAAAATTGATATGTTAATAATTATCATTCGACTTGTTATTTTTATAAATCAATAATTTTTCACCCGATCTATAAAATGCTACTTCCACCTACACATAAAAAAAATTGAGAAGATCTGTTTCCTTCATTCTTGTTCGAGAAGATCTTATAGAAAGCCATGGGGTTCCATCTCAAAACCAATTGGCAATGAGGGGAGTAGCCCATATACTTATATATTGATATCAACTCTCTCCCACCACCGATGTGGAATACTCAACACTCCCCCGCAAGCCCAACGTCGCTTCTTGGATTGGGCTTGTCAGCCCAGTCACCGTCTCACGTCTCAACCCTACCAGTTCTATCACATCAGGCTTGGAGTCCGACTCTTAACGAACTGGCTCTGATACCATATAGAAGCCCATGGGGTTCCACCTCAAAACCAATTGACAATGAGGGGAGTAGCTCATATACTTATATATTGATACCAACTCTCTCCCACCACAGACGTGGAATACTCAACAGATCTACCCTAAACCCTAAACCCTAATTAACTTGACAAAACACTCATAAAGATTGTGGAATGTCATGACGTTTTCCCGAACTCTTCTTCATCAACGTCTCTGTGACTTGTGAAGTTCAAAACCACAACCCTTATCTTTGGATTTTGGTTAGCTTAGTTTAGATTCCAACCAAAATTTTGAAGGAAAAATTGAATGATTGAAGAGGAAATTGATGGCAGAAAGTCCTTTCTTTTTTGAGAAAGAAAAAAAGAAAAAGCAAAGAATTTTTCAACCAATGATGCTCTAACCAAACTCAACTCGCATATCTCAAATTTATATATCTCAACACCACATATATACTATATCTACAGTATTGTATATTATGTACATTATAGAATAATATGAATGTATAACCCATAAAAATGGCATTGACAATTTGAATGACATATGTTTCTTTACTTGAATAATACAGTTCTGAATTTGTCCTTGGCTGCTTCAAGAGTTGAAACAGGTTATGAATTTTGCACTTCGATACTTAATGCAATCTCCAAACCTTTATATGTTTCTACTCCCAAGCAACTCCTTCGAATTCCAAGCATTTGCAAACACAATATCACAAAAAAAAAAATTTGTACATCACAGAAATTTACAGTAAATTGTGCTCCTTCTAAATTTTTCTATCCACCTTAAGCCCATTGAATTGCACAGCAAAGGGTACGGTCTCCACACATTGCCGTATCTAGCCAATCCAGGACTCTAGAAATCTCATTTGCCTAAGAACTTGATACAGGAAAGACCAAGAAATGCGATCATAAGCCTTACTCGTGTCTAGTTTCACTGCTCATGAGCAACCAGGGACGAAGTCGGGCAACCACAATCTTCGCCAATGAGCTTGTAATATTTGACATTACACAGGCTGTGAGTAACAATCAAACTTCATCATTTTCGTTTTGCAAGTGAATACTGCATTCACGTTTCTATACAGCCCTGGAAAAGTGCATCCACTATCTTGATGCCAAATCGAACACAATTCTGGCTGAGCATACGATCAAACATTACGATATTCTGAGCTGTGTATCTATCAATTAAAGACTAAGAATTCGAAATAAGAAGTCATTGATGCCGACAGAAAAACACACGTCATGAAAATTAAGATGTATTAAAAGTGGTAAAAGTTTTGTTCAAAACAAATTACAATACATAAATTAGACTGTACCACTTTTACCTATCACAAATTGGCTGTTACTGTGTTACAGTTATCTCCATTGTATAACAAATAATGCAATCCTCAACCAGCAAACTACAGCTCAAACCACGTAAGATGGAAAAGTTAGGGTGGTACTATATATACACACACACACTCTCTCTCTTTGTTAGCCAAGAGTTCAGTGATTTTTATATTGTTAGTCAAGATGAGAAGGCCACTAAGTCTAAAATAATAAGCTAGCTATCGAAATGAACTGGCCCGGAGTTGATTCATATGACACTTTGAGGAGTGTATAGTTCCCACAATGCCACAGTAGTGTCTTCTGATGAAGAAGCTAACAGCCTGCTGTCCAATGAGAATGAAACAGCGTTGCACTGCAATGTAACCAGAAGGCGCAAATTATCCATGAAACATCAGTTTGAGAATGAAATGCTACATAAAGATGCACACCAGCGATGATGTCTAAGAAATAATCAGAAAGGTGCCATACCGTGGCATGATGATATTTCAATATAGCCAATGGATTTCCTTTTCGATAATTGTAAACCCTTAATCTGTAACCAAAAAATGAAAAGTATACAACTTATCCAAGTAAACTTTCAAAACGTCATGGTATGACAAATACATCATAATATGGTATTGATTTCCTTGAATTCGAGTCATACAGTAAAATCACTATAACCTTAACGCTGGTAACTTATTCATAATAACTCATCCCACAAAAGTTTAAGAATGACTAACCGGTGATCCCAGCCGGCAACTGCAGCAATTTTGCCATCTGGTCGAATTGAGGCTCCTGCAATTCCAGGTTGTTCCAAAATAATTTCTTTCTTGGCCATAACAGAACCCTGTATTAAGATCAAGGAGCAAAAAATGAGCAAGTCACTCACGTATATCCTGACATCAGAAAAAAGAATAGGTCTCTTGATCTTCTTGACCCCTGAACCAGTGATAGTCCATTCAAATATGCAGCATGAACCATGCAAACAATACAATCATAATTTCCAGATCAACTGATATTTGTATCCTTTTCCATTGCAAGCAATTAAGTATATTATCTAATAGACATGTAATCATCTCATAACTGGAAGAAAGTCTTTAAGGGATCTATCGAGAAAATAAAATATGAACAAAAAATGTAACGACGAGGGAAAGAAGATGAAAGAATAAAACATAAGTCACAAATTATTGCTGGTTTCTTCATCTTAGATGGTAAATAGAGATGAACAGAAAACCGATTTTAGGAACCAATAGTGAAAATCGAACCAGCACTAAGGTGACAGTTCCCTATCTCCTTTGTTTCAAGCCAAAAGCATTAACGGAAGCAGTACACATCAAGCTATCCAAAAATAAGAAATGTCATGCTGTAGAGCAATTTAACATGCAAAAAACAGAAGTTATTAAGGTTTTAATTACCGATGCATAATCCAAATTGAACATCACAATCTTTTCATCAGCGCCTCCAGAGATACCACCACCACACGACCAATCCACACAGAGGCTGAGAACTGCAAAGATGCACTATTCAACTTCCTGGAGGAATTAAAAAGGAGATATTCGACCAAGATATTATATATACAGTTAACCCTATACCTGGTTCTGAATGAAACTTAACAGTCGTCAATGGAGCTCCAGGATTCCTTGTGTCCCACCAGCCCATGGACCCATCCTCGTAACTACATCATTGAAACCAAAAGAAACTTGTCTAATTTTTACAATCATGGGTATATTCTGCCGCAATAATGAATACCCTGCCATCAGGCCTTAAAACATCCACAGCAACTATGAATTATTTAAAGCTGAATTTCAGAGGACAGTGGTCAATAACTTCTTAAACATGGGAACAATATTTACCAAAACATCTGCAAATTTTATGATTATTCCTCCAAACTGAATCTAGTTTAATCAATGGAGAGGAGAAGGGGTTAGGGAGTGTGGAGAGTGGGGCTTTTTAATTATATACAAGCCACGGTTTTAAGCAGACTAATCAACCATCAATTTGTGATAAAGTTGCTTTCAGAACGATGTTTAATCTTTGATAAGGATGTAAGTAAGGGCAAACTCTGCCTCAATAGACCAAGTATAGCAGAGCAGCATCAACCAGTATAAACATGATCGGAAACAACTAGTTCACAAAAAACGATGTTCAAGATTGTAAGAAGTGGAACACAAATTTGGAGAAAGAAAGTCAAAATCAGATCAATGACGAACCTGGTTAAAACATTAAGGTAGCCCTGGTATTCAGAAGACAAAAATGCTTGAACTGCCATACACATTCCTGGTGACGGATTAAAATTAGGGAAGTGGGGAGCAGAACTTTATACACAGAAGTAAGTCAAAAAACTTCTGGCTAGTCAAGCATAATGCCTTACGTTTATTGACTTTCAAATACCGGAAGAATGTTTCATGTGATCAAGTTAGCAAAATAATGCAAGTTATTAGGTGGAAACAAATAGTATTTAATCCAAACAAGCTAAGGATAAAACGAAGAGAAATGAGTGCTAAACAGTCAGGAAACAGCAGAAAATGAGTGTCAAACAGAAAACGAGATACTAATCTAAGGTCCACGTCCCAGGAACTAATGACTAAAGGACCCAGGAGCGCAAACCTAACATCTAGAGGAAAAGTTTCTTAGATATTACAGCTAGTGAAAAGATATGAAGCTACTGAACTGCAGATAACAAGATAATTGCATCCATACCCGGCAAACTTCAGAAAAGTTTCAAAAACTGACCTCGTTCCTTTGTCAGTGGATTAACTGAGCCAGAAGGGAAATCAGGGAGCTGAAGACACTTTTTCGAAGCAGCAAGATCCCAGAGCTCGACCTTCACATATTGAGACCATAGGTCAGTCTACAAAGTACAAAGGCAGAGAAACCCATAACATCATGATCAACTGTAACTAAAGAGACGAACTAACCACAGAAGACTGCTCTCCTGCGATTGCAACATATTTCATTTCCTTGACTTGTGCATAATCTAAATAGAATAGATAAATTAGTCAAAATCCATGATTTCCATCAAAACTACATTTGGTTTAATTTGCTTCAACTTCTTTAACGGAAGTCCACAACTGATGAGATTGAACACCAGGGAGATTTTGTCTGATATCTGGTCACCAGAGTGAGTTTTACTATCCCTCAGAGAAAGCATGACAAATTCTAACTAGGATCAGGAAATAAACAAAGTATGACCTGATACGGGGTATATGGTTTCCGAAATTTCAGACAGACATGCTGATCAGAACAGAAGACACATGCTGTTTATAGTTGACGCTTAGAAAGTACTTTGAGACCATCATTGGAGCACAAATCGGGGGCAGATGACACAGCCCAATGAGACTAATGGTAGATGTATATTCATATAAATAAATAAAATGAACAGAGAAAAGGCCATAATTCAATGGAGAGAGGATACTGAAGACAAGACGAAAGAATAAACCTTCTATTGTGCCTGAACCCTGAGTTTGACTTTCTTGAGCTGCAGTTTTCCCATGAACTGCATCTTGGAAGTTCTCTATTCCATCAGTTTGCCTCGGCCAATGTATGGGCTTCTTTACCAATGAAAGTTTGCAGAAATGGTAACTATTTGTTTTAATTGAAAGTAACGGACTCCTGATGGATAGAAAGAGGAAAAAGAAACATGAACTAAGTGTAATACGACTGTTCATATCAAAAGCATGTTAAAAAGAGAAGTTCATCTATGCAATCCACATCCGATGCATATCTTATGATCATTGATTAATGCTTAAAGCAACGGAAAAGCTGATCCATCGAGCATATCAATCGATCCATAAACTATTTGCTGTACTTCAATTTAACCAGTTCATTTTAAATTTTGTCACTTGATTGGAAGCACCTAAACATAATTATCGTCACTTGATAGAAATCACCCAAACGAACAATCAAGTACTAAATAAGAAAAACTAAAAGGAAAACTGAATACCTAGAAAGACCCCCATCTCCAAAGTCCCAACACTTTACAGTTCCATCTCTGCCTTGGCTGCATAATCAGGAACAAAATAAGACCCACTAAACACCAGAAGATAAGAAATCCAGAAGTCGTTGAATACTTGAAATCCCTACATATCCTAGCCCTGAAATACTGATAAATCTATACAATGTATGGGGGCTAAGAATGCACCTAATTACTTTGTCTTCTCCAATCAAAGGACTGGCTGCAACACCAATAATTCCATGTGCCGCAGTATGTACTCTGCAGAAGTACACAGGAGAACATCACATTCTAACAATGATTATTTTAGTGACTTTATACATGAAAACAATATATCACATTCACTGGTTTACAACTATCTACAGAGGTGCAAGCACAAAACATTGAATTATTTTCTTACATTAAAAGTTTGCCAGATACTATCATATCTTGCATTGTAGATAGACTTTTCAAAAGTCACTTCGCATGAAAGAAAACAAGAGGACCTTTGTGACTATTTCATTACATATGCTTATATCATCTGTGGGGCATTCATAAATGTAACAGAATCATATAAAAAGTTCTCTTTACGATAAGAAATACGAACATATAATGCAAACATCTTGTCTTCACCAAGTATTGGCATAGATACAGTAATTACAATGCAGATGCAACTGTGCGGCGCTGTACGGTATCCCAAATACGCAATTCACCATCAGCAGCCCTGTACATGAACACGAGCTCATTAAGTAACAATCAAGATACAACAATAGTAACAACAAAAGCATACATTACACTAGGTGGGGTTAAAAACACATACACGCACATATATATGTAACCATCGTGCTCTATCAGTGCATATAATCTGGTTACTGAAATGAATCGAGCCTTTCTTTCCGTCCAAGAGTATGAAGTGTCTACTCATGTCCACATTATTTTAAACATACTGTTTTCACTTTCTTCTTTCGGAGCAACCCATTTTTCTAATATGTTTGTTACTTTAGTACACACATCATCAGATGATCTCAACATTCTTACTTATGATTAATGAGGGTACACTACCTTAAATTGGATACGGAACTACACAGATTAAAATGTCCAAGAATTTAAGCTATAAAATGATAACATGGAAATGTACAACACCCGGAGAACAGTATCTTTCTCGATGGATGGAAGCAGATGTCCATCACAGAGGCTCGGTGGCCTCTGAGCACCGCTACAGGATCGGGTGGAGGTCTCTTGCTCATTCTCTATAGCCTTCCTTGAAGTCCTCACTTTGTTTCTGGCATTTTACCAAACAAGTCAAGCACAATACAAAATTTCCTGAAACGTATAACTTTCAAGGAAAATCAACAAGACCCCGTCATTATAGACTACAAACTAGCAACAGAAATTTATAAGTTTAATGAATCACAGCAGCAAAAGTTTATTATAAAATTTCTTCTTGCAGCGAGTGAAAAGAAACACTGACGCATACTGTAATATATTTTTATGATCTAATACCTAATTGGGGTCGAAAGCTTGAAAAATCTGGTAAGTTCCCCACCCCCCGCCTTTCTCTGCTGACAGTGAAACAGTCAATGACTATCGAATAAGGGTTGTTGTTATTCAACCGACCGATTGGTTGAGAAGGTGTTAATTAGACTATCACCTTTCAATCAGACTATCTCAACTGGCAGAGTGGCTTTCTTGTCTCAGGTGCCTTTCAAAGCTTGCAGGTGCAAGTTGACTAGTTTCTCAAGGCAGGGCTAGATTTCAGTGCCAATTACAGAACACACTCTTATAGTCTACGCCCGTCAGTAGCAGTTGAAGAAGGTTTTCTACTTGATTGTCAACAAACCTCAATGCCTCAATGCCTACACGCCCATGATTTTAGGACTCAAATCTAATATTAGTGCATTTAGTTAAATTTTGGATAGGCCCAATTCAGTTACTAACATTTGATATCATCCCCTGAATCCAATTACAAGAATAAGAGTAGCATTGACCTTAGTTGCTCTAAACCGGTTCTCTTTCCGGGCTTCCTCCCTCGGCTGATGAAAACATCAATACCAGACCAACAATAATACCACGGACATCATCACATCGTTTCTTTCTCTTCTTCCATATTCAAATTCGAGTGAAGTCAAACAATCCATCCTTAGTTCCTTTTTAACTTAAATTCACTGTTCTGTTCTTAATCCCAAATCATTTTCTACTCCTTCTCGTTCAAAACTTGGCAAGATTAAATCACTGTTTATATACTTCAAGGATATTAAAATCCCAAAAAATCAGAGAGAATGAAAGAAAGTTTAACTTACTGATTAGATGAGTGAAAGCGGTAACTAAGCTCTGACCTCACTCCGTTTCTGGTTTCTTCCTCAAATCCACCTTCTTCCGGTCTTTCTGCCATTTGCTCGGCTTTTTATACGTTTCCCCGTATGAGGAGGCTGGGCTTTTCTTTCGTGGTAGATCAACTCTAAATGGACCAAAAAGCAATAAAGATGAGTCTAGTCCAAGTTTCTTAAATGTTGGTTTAGTAAATTTGTAGTTAAAATTAATCTACTAATCCGCACACTAATTTTGATTTCTTCATTTATACTCCCTATGTCCCAAACTAATTTGTCCAATTTAAATTTTCACTTTCCCTACAATTGAAAATCTAAAGGGAGTAATTATTCCGAGACAGTCATCACTGTCAATATGAAGATTAATCTTTGTAATGGATATATTACAACTTGACGCTCACTTGATTCAACTAATTAATAGATAGATTTGGTATTCTCGTCACATCCAAGGTTACGAAACAAAACAAAACGTATCAACTACAAAAGCCATCGAATTTTTCATCGGCCTCAATGTAACAAAATCAACAATTGGGATGAGGATGAACACCTGATCAAAACACGAGAATAATTATTTATAATGTTAACACCTGTTTCATATTTTTTTTTTAGTAAAAAAGCATAAATTATAAGTTGAAAGAAAGAATTCTTCATATGACAAATCGGATACATTATAATGTGTATTTATTAATTTTATGATAATTTTTCAAATATTATAAATCTCATAAATCTAATTTTAAAATTTACTTAATCAAATAGAATTTTTTTTTCCTGGAGACTGAAGTTGTAAAATATTATTGTTCCATACTAGATGTTAAACCCGCACGATGTGCGGGGTTTATTTATATACATTTTTAAAAAATCATAAGAAATATAGAAGGTGTAGAATATATTTGAAATTTATATTAATACATATTATATAAAGATAAAATATTACGATATGAAATGCAAGTATTGAGTTAATGGAAACATAAACCTTTGTTCATTCTTGTAATCATCACCTCCAACTTGCTTGTTTTTCTAATTTTTCCACACATCTGCATAATTGAATTAAAAGAAAAATGATCCAAGCATGTTAAGGTATAAATAATTACAAAAAAGAATTATACCTTTCTTCTTCATATGAATACACAGGCAGTCACGATTTTGAGTGGAATACCAATAACTGATTGAGTCTTATATAGGTAGTATATGGGATATGAGCGCTCAAATGTGTTTGATATAAATGAGATTTCTTTTTTAAATTTAAGTGTGATAAGTAATAACATTCCAAATTCAAAAATGAGCGCTCAATCATGTTTATTAGTTTTGAATGTGTAGTTGGGAAAATGAAGTAGTTTTAGGGATTGATTTCCATTTATAATTAAAAGCAAAAAAATATCACTATGGCATATTAATTAATTTTGAATTCAAAAAATATCATTTCCTTAATTGGTTAGGAATAATTTACGGATGACAATAAACTTTTCAATTTTAAATTAATGCGGAAATTTAGTTTACGGGCTTAGTTTTTCCTCTTTTTAATTACTTTATAATTTAAGGACTCATTTCTAATTTTATTAAATTTTTTTAGAAGAGCTATTATAAAATGACACATAGAATTTGCAATTAAAGAATTGCTGATAATTTTGCATTAATTATTTTTGAATTTTAAAAAATTATTAATATTGTTTATGATCAAATCAATATGTAATGGTATTATTTAAGCCAATTGGATAATCTTTTCAAATCAATCAGATTTAATGTTAAATCAAATAAATGTTTACCTTTTTATATGACACTTAATGAAAAAAACCATTAATGTTGATTTTTAAAAAAAGTTTCCGTTTTCTTTTTCATTTCACCAAATATAAAATAGAAAGTTTACCACACAATTAATTGATATACTTTAATTACGAATTGATAATAATTGTTTAACTGAGAATTTAAAGGACTATTAATGTAATTGTTGTAAATATTTTTTATGTCAACCTATAGGAAAATGACACGTATGATTTTATCCTATTTGTCAACGTGAGAAGAAATTTGATTTTCTCTCTCTAGTTTCTCTCTTAGTATAATACTATAGATTCTCCCAACACTTATGACTCAAGTTGTAATAATTTTTTTTATTGTTTTTCTTTTAGTATGATGAAAAGAGGCCAAGACCTTATCACAGGAAATCATAACATAACATGGATAAGAAACTCTAATTAGATCATGTTTTAACTACGATCTAATATTATTTGGAAGAGCTGATAAAGGTTCTCGGACTCCTAGAAACTATATCTGCCGTGTAATTAGCAACAAAATTAGCATCTCTATATACATGTTTTAACACTTACAGACCAAGACCTATTCAGCAGCTCCCGAACACCACGAACAAGACTTGAAACAAGCCCCAACTCGTAGGAATTTTCGTCGGATCCTAAAACAGAGTTACCATGGATTTATACATTTCATGCTATATTGCCATGTCTAACGCATTTCGGACAGTATGTGTCACAAATCATAGTGACATAGAAGTCAACACCAAAATTTTCGTTTTGTTTCCTTTAATCTTAGAAGTAAATTTCACATGTCAAAGTGGATAGAGTCAAAAGCAGAACAAAATTCATGAAACTGTACGAATAAACATCAACACTACATGAATTGCCGTTGAGTAAAAAAAAAAAAAAAATCACTGCAGTAATAATTTCAATCATACAATCCATGATTACCACTCCAAAAATCCCCAAAGAAATAAAATACACTCTATCTGTTTTATCTACGTGATGTAGAAGATCTAATGAGATCTGAAAATGTGGAACACTAAAGCTATAATAAACAAACAAACAAACCAATGGGAAAGGTTGCAAACCTAAAATCACAAAAACAAATTTACAGAAAAATAAAACAATCTAAGGCTATAAGAGGATTATGTACATCCTCAATCACCATAGCCTCCAAATCCTGCATCTGGTTTTTGTCTAACTCCTTTTCTGCAACTTCAATTTTGCTGTTTTTCTGACCAATTTCCTGTTGATGACTGATCAATGCAGCATCCCGGTTAATCTTCATGATTGTCCCACTTTTAGTACCAAAATCATAATTTGGACTTTGTGGGATTTTGAAATTCTCTCTTCTCAAGCTTGCAGAAGACAGAGTACTCTGCCTATTGCTCTTAACAACAGTTGATCTCCTGGAGTAATTAGTACCAGGATCTTTGGCTGTGTTCTTCATCGGCGAATCCCTTAACGGAATTTCCCCATTGAATCGTCGACTTGGCGAAGGCGATCTCATCAATGCTGTTCTATTAGGAAGATGATAAGTACTGTTAGCTGGAGAAGAACTAATTACCTTGGGGTCAGGGTCTTTCCTGAAGCTTTTCTGCCTGACAAGAGTTGGCGAATTCGCCCGAGCTCTTTTCTTCGGCGTTGCACCTCCTTGATTTTCTCGAATCAATTGTTTCATGAATACAGAAGCCGGTTTTTGGACTAGATTTGTTGTAGGGGAATCAAATTTATTGTGTCGATGAACTTTATAGTCGGACGGTTTCTGATCAAAACCGGGTCCTTTGATGATACTTCTTCCGATTATTTGTGGGTTCTCTTTCGCGCAAGCCCACAAGAACTCGTTCGAGAATGACCCGCGGTAATCTTTAGAGATTGAGGCCGGATTAAAGTAAGAAGACGACGAAGATGATGAAGAACTGATAGAGAATTCTGAGCTGGTGCTGTTGCTGCTGATGCCACCAGAAACAGAGGAAAAAGAAGTAGTTGATGATGACGATGATGATGCAGAAGAGGTATGAGAATAAGGTAAAACTGGTTTACGATGAGTTCTTGATGATGATGATGATGATGATGATTTTGGAATTGGAATCCCAGATTGTTGTTGAGAAATAACAAGCTTATCATGAACAATCTGGCAGCAAAATTCTTGATGATCATCGACAATTTCGCAGGCTTTCCTCTTGGTTTTCTTCTTTGGTTTGCATTTGCTAATGCAAGAACCCATTTTGCTTGGACTTAATTTTGGGTTTAAGATGTAAGAAATCGGTCTGTTTAAAGGGTTTATGTATAGAAAGAACAGATTGAATTAATTGGATTGAAATTTGGGGGAAAAAGAAAGTGTTAAAAAGTGTGCTTTCCCTTTATCAGAATTTGAACTTTGTTGCCGGGAGTTTTGTTTTCGGTATTAATCCGTTGTTTTCAACGGATACATACAAAAAGAAAAAAGCTGTGATGGCTTTCACTTTTTGCTACCTCAATTTGTAATTTCGTTTTGTTTTTTCTTAAATAATATTTAATTTGAAAGAAGGCTGCTGGGGCTTTCACTTTTTTGTGCGAAGACTATGTAGCTGATAATGAGCTTCAAAGTTCAAACATATGGGGGAAAATAAAATACTCCCTCCATCCCAAAAAAATAGTCTGGTTTGAAAATGTACAACTCATTTTATACCCTTAACTTCCACTAATGTCTCTTCTAGTTATTTATATAAAAGTTAACTACATATTCATTTATTTTACAACTTAAATTTGATCACAATTTTTATCTCAAAAAATATTGACAATAGATCTTGATAGAAAGATCTCGTTACGTAAATTAATTTGATATATATAACACATTTTTTAATTATTCATGTATTAAAAGATATAATCATTTGAAAATATAAGAGAAAAACTAAAAAAAAAAAATGAAAATCAAAAGAAGTGGACCTTGTTTTCATTACCACTACTCTTTTGGATATTTCAGTCATTTCAATTCAATTAAATTTGACTTTTGTGAAACTTGACTATTTTTTTAGGACAAACTTTTTTATTAAACTGGACTATTTTTCTAGGACGGAGAGAGGATAAAAAAGTAATGCATCATTTCAAGAGTTTGTTAGGGTTGTATTATGGTAGTATTTGATAGTTGACTTACTTACTCACTCGTTTCCGAAATTATTGTTTAGTCTGAATTTATATTACGATAAATTGAATTAAAAATAAAAATTTAAAGTGACAAATAATTTTGCGAGAATAAGTCATTGTCGAGTTATGTCAAGTTTGGGACACTTTTAATATTAAAAAAATCTATTCCCTCTTGTTTGTGAATTAGGGTATTACATTCCTGCTCCTCCAAATCTTTGGGACCCGGCATGTTTTTGGCCTTGATTTCCCCACCAACAAGATTTTTGAGACATGCCTCTTGGTGCTAACCACTTTGATCAAGCACTTTTGTGCATATTGAAAGGGGGTTTATGTTTGCCACGGATAAAGAGTAATTGAACATGCGTGTAAAGTCGAAAAAGCCCCTGTTTCATAAATCGGGATAATTTGTTTATTTCTCAAAAATCAAAACGCAAAATTTCAAAGCATTTTGAGACAAACTGGATTATGTCAAATTGAAAAAAAAAATCAAATCATTCGTAATTAACCACATATATCATCATTAACAATCTCAACAAGGTAAATCTTAAAATAAGTCTAGATACATAAACCAATTAAACTCTATCAATGACTATTAACCACCAAAATTTCCCCATAACAAAATAAAAAAAGATATGATCCTATATCTTCAAAGTTTCAAATTTTAACAGAGAAGAGGTATCCCCAAAGTCCCAGAAGCCAAAGGCTGGGAAGTAAGCCCTCTCCGTCGTTAGCCATCATCGTCTTCCTTGCCCTAATCACCAATTTTCTGGGATTAATGTGTTTTGCATAGATGGGGACTTTCAACAACGGAATTTGTTATTTCTCTCTTAAAAAAAGAGGCAGCATATTAGAGGGAACACGCTTGAGTTTCTCGGATCTGGTGAGTTGATTTGGTCATTTAATTCGCTAAAATTATGGCTAACGTTGCTAAAATTGTTATTTCCTCTTTCTTTTTTTTTTCTTTTTTCTTTTTCCCATCGGGAAATTGTCTGTTGTTGAAATGATGCATTTTGCTTTGTAAGGAATATGATGTTTGTTTTTTCCCATGAGCTAGATTTCTATGCCAAAAATGATGTTTCAAACTTTACTATGTGGTTAGATCCACTTTTTGTCAATCGCAGTTGGACGATTCTCAATAATTATAATAAAATACTTTCTTTCTTTTAAAAAAAAAATATGATCTTTGTTTTTTGTTTTTGTTTTTGTTTTTTTCCCCCTCGGGTTGTTTTTTGTTTTTGTTTTGTTTTTTCCTCTCTGATTTAAATCAGTCGTCCCTAAGTGCATGGTAGATGATACTATAATTTTTGGCGACTATTTAGGTTGTTTTGCTTTTGTTTTGACTTTTGTGGTTTGAAATAATGATATCCTAATTACTTCATCACTTATCTCGAGGTAGAATATATTCAATGACTTCAATAGGAACACTAGCTAGTATATGATGCTATTCTTGGTTTGTGCTTACAGAACTTGATCTGCTTCTATTATTATTATTATTATTATTTTGGTAAATTGATCTGCTTCATTCAATTAACCACTTGCTCTCTCTTCCCCTCTCCAAACAGTTTAAAGGGATATACTCCCTCCATTTCAAATTATAGGTCATTTTAGGTTTGGAGAGATTTTTCAAAATGTAGGTCGTTTTATAAATTCTAGATAAATTAATAATTATTTTTCTAACTTTATCCTCAATAAATGATAATAATTTATTTTCATTTAGTCTTGTTTATAGTTCCGATATAATTAATGAGGGATAAAACAGATATTTAACACATAAATTAATTGTTAGATGATTGTCTCTTTAGTTTACGTGCCAAATCTAAAGTGACTCACATTTTGAAATGGAGGGAGTAGAATAAATGGGAAAAAAAAAGAAGAACATGAAATATGATAGTGTCAAGTAAATGTGACATAAAACTTAATTAAATGTCTTGATGTCAAAAAGGTTTGTGTAATCATACGTTTGGATAGATGTTTCAACGTGTTTATATGCATTTTTTCCTTTTGGAATTGTAAAATGGTATTAGATCGCATTGTAACATGATTAATGATCAGATAATCTACTAGAGGTAAATAGAGAAATGAAACTGAAGGGAGAAGTACACGTATATAACAATGGGGATAATAAATAAACCGTTTTTGAATGAATATGACCCATTAAAGTTCCTTCATTCTGACATGCACTTTGTTTGGGTTTCAGAAGAACAAATCCAACGAAGTCATAAAGTAAAACCAGAAACCCAACTTTTTTCAAACCACAAATTAATGGTGCACCCCAACCGCCCTGTAGTAGATGAATTCATAAATTACAAACACTTTCAGGGGAAAAAAAAAACAGGGCTTTTTCAGTAACAGCCGCCTCAATTAAATCAATAATCACCCTACCATTTCTTGCAGAAACGTGTTTAAAAGTTATTTGATTTAATTTCTGAAAATCCTACAACACTTCCTAAACCATCACATTTTTTTTTTTTTTAATGTAATCATTACTTTCCTTTTTCAAAATTTTATGAACATCCTAACTCAACATTTGTTGAACCTATTGATACTATGTGTTCAAATCTTAATGAATGATGTAGGAAATCGAGTAAAATTATAGTGTAAAAGATTTTTTTACGTTGTTTCTTTAAGAAATTATTTTCATTTTGATTAGAAATTATGCTCCATCAAAAAATACCGTCAAATTAAAATTTTTTCACTTTAAATATAATTTGTATTAATAATAATAGAAATTTAAACTAAACAATTATTTATTTATAGACAAGAGTACATATACTTGTCTGATTCTCCCTGTTTGGGGGGATTTCTTTCATTTTATTTTTATTTTTTGGCCAGTAATATTACCAAGGCATAAAATAGCTGTCAGAACAAAAAAACATGTGGTTTCCATTCTACCCTTATCAGTTATCCGGTCAAAAAGGTTCTTTTTTCTTCTTTCCTCTCTGCTCTTTCCTCTTTGTCAGGTTGGCCATCTTCTCTGAATTCCCCTGTCTTCATGAGCTCAACTTGCCAATCCTATCTCCAGAAATCTAAACTCTTAATAATGATTCACCACAATTGATCTCAAATGGCTTTTCTAACTACTCTCCGTTCCTTTTAATTGATATTGTCCTTTGCCCGAATCCAAAAATTCCAGAACCATTTTCAATTCCAACAACCCCATTCTCATGTTCATTGCAAGAAGATGATTACAGTCAATAACTCCATTAAAAGAAAAATCAAAGAATCACATTGAATCCCTTTCAACCATCCCACCATTATAAATTTTCCTTCAAATTCTTGTCTATTGTCCTTTTTCAACCCACCAAAATTTGTTGATGCTCCCCCGTCTCTTCGATTTTCGGTGGCCACATTCGTGGCACTAATTGACATCAATTTTCCAAATACCTCACCGCGATTTAATGAGCTTGTTGAATTTTGGTCATTCTTGGACTTGTGATGAACATCGAAAAACAATAGTTTGATTCTTTAATTAACTGGAATTGAAATCAATCCTTGAATCATGATAAAAACAAACTAATAATGATATTAATATAAGATCATGATTATTGTAGGTTTGAAAAATTTGTTGCATGAAAAAGAAAACTTCAACAGGGCAGGAGTGGGAAGGAAGATGATGAGGAGAGGAGAGACTAGAGAAAGGAGACAGTAAAATAAGCCTTTTAACATGATAAGGGTAATACGGGGAGCACAAGTCTTTTTTGCTCCGGCAGCTGTTTTATGCTCTAGCAATATCACTGGTTTTTTTTTTTTTTTATATATATATATATTTCTCGTTGTTTATTTAGGAATTATTTTGAAACCATTTACTTAAATGGTGGTTTGTACAACAATTTTGACGTACATTCCTTTTCATTTAACCTTTTATTAGGGGATCAGATTCATAAATGTGTAGCAGGAGAATTTGTGTATATACCAATGATATATATATCCCGAAATTTATTTGCTAATTATGAAGTGGTAGCAAATCCGTCCGAATCCTTTTTCATTATGATGAGTCTCATTTCTTGTACATTATCACTAACTATGTTCATGAAATATATTAAAAATCTGATTATTTGATGATGTCTTCTAGAAACGCGGCACTTGGTTGTTCTCACACTGGACATTCTTTGGTGGTCTCTAAAATCTCCTCCTTCCAATGCCGGCGGCCATGTCTCCGACTACTAGTGCCGACGGAGGCGGTAACATCAACCCACTGTTCAAAGATTTTCAGTTTCCTCCTTACGATGAAATACGGCCTGATCATATTTGCCCGGGTATCACCGCCTTGTTAAACCAACTTGTACGTACTATCTCGAGTTGATCTCTCTCCCTCTCTTTCTTTGTTTTCTTTTATAAATATAAATAAAAAAAAAGTGTTGCTAAACGCAGATTGATTTTACTTCGCACAGCTTATTAAAAAGACTTAAATACCCTTAAATCTTTCTCTTTCTCTCCTTTTTCTATTTCTCTTTTTCCTTGTTAAATACAACTTGATTTTTTTTCGCACAACTTGTAAAAACATTAAAATAAACCACAAATCCTTAGTGCTCTGCAAAAGAATCCGTAAATTCAAGCATACATGAATTTAAAATCTTGTTTCAAGCTATTACGAGGCTACAACATGGAAAATCTATGGGTTAATTATGTTGATTACATCATCAAGTTTTGTCATGTCGGTAGTTTTCCCTTTTAGCATAACATATCCTGTCAGGAGTTTTCCTTTTTTTTTATAAAAAAATTGCCTACAAAATTACTTATTGAGACGTTCATTCCTCTTTTTTTGCTTGATTTTCATTTTTTTGATTTTCTCCTATTTCAAACTATCAACAATCCTTAAATTTTTTACAAGTTGAAAAATTTGATAGAATTGATTTAAAAAAATAAAGATAGAAAATTGTGTAAAAGAGTGAAATAATGTAGGCTTTAGAGTTTAGGGGTATTTAAGTCTTTTTTATAAGTTGCGCGAAGTAAAATCAATCTGCATTTAACAACTTACGTGAAATTTTTTTGGCTCAGTCAAATTAGGCTTAGAGAAAAAAAGAAAAGAAAATGAGACACAATTATTGGTTTTTTTCCTCCAATTGACATGATTTATAAGAAACACATGTTATATTAGCATAAATGTTAAATGAATGAACGAATGAATATGATTGAAGGAGCCAAAATTGGAGCTACTAGAGAGTGTTGTAAAGGAAGAGCAAACATGGGAGAAATTGGTGGAACCACTAGAAAAGATCATCGACCAGTTGGGTTTGGTTTGGGGTGCGCTTAGTCACCTCCAGATGGTTAAGAATACACCTCAACTACGGGCAGCCATCCAAAAAATAGAGGTCTCTCATAATGCTCTGCTCTTTTTTTTTTCTTTTCTTTTTTCTTCAGTATACTATACACTTTCTATCTTCTTTTTAGCATTTTTGGCCCTTTTTAGTGATACAAGATTAATTAATTAATTCCGGAGAAGAGCGTTACATACATCTTGCTTATTATTTGATGGGTATGCAGCCAGCAGTAGTTGCATTTCGTCTCAAATTGGATGGGAGTAAGCCGGTTTATGATGCATTCAGAGCTATTCGAGATTCCCCTACTACTTGGGATGCCCTTAGTGATTCTCAAAAGAGAGTAGTCGAATGTAGGGTCACGAAAACTACTCTATATTTCTTTGGAAAAAAAGGGAAAATGTCGAGCCCTAATCTGTTTTCTTATATCTGGTGCAGTGAGAATATGGCTAGGTGTTGTTAGTGGCATTGGTCTCGAAGGTGATGAAAGAGAACGGTTTGTGGAGATTGAACAGGTACATTTATCATGCTACTATGTGTGCAGTAAAAGTTTGCAATGTGTTTCATATTGAATGATTGTTCTCTAAACTGTGCCATAATACTTCTTTTTTGTTTTGGAAGGAGATGAACCACTTATCTAAAAGGTTCAAGGAGAATATGTTGGATTCCACAAACAATTTTGAAAAAGAAATTATTGATATGAAGGATATTGAAGGGTTAACTGCCACAGCTCTTGGATTGGCTGCCCAAAGAGCAATCTCAAAGGTGACTTAAATCTCTTTTAATTATTATTTGAAAATTCTTAGAACTCTTCAATTGTTGCAATCGAAATATCGAATGTATGTGTGTGTCTAATAGGGATATGAAAATGCAACCGCTGAAAATGGTCCATGGGTACTTACGCTGGATGCTCAAAGCTATGAGTCTGTTATGCAACATGCCAAAAATCGAAACTTAAGGGAGGAAGTCTACCGTGCTCATAAGAGTCGTGCTTCAACTGGGGAATTTGACAATACACCTATAATCGAAAAAATGCTATCACTTAGACTCGAAAAGGCAAAACTTCTTGGGTTCAGCAACTATGCAGAGGTATGCGTTGTTTTGTTACTTTAAAATTGATGTTGCCGAACTGCATGCTTGTTATTCAAAATTATGGTCATTTAGGTATGCATGAAAAACAAGATGGCAACTGTTGACAAAGCTCGTCAATTCCTTGAAAATCTTAGAGCTGTGTCATGGGATCGTGCAGTTCAAGGTAAGTATTTCAATATGCATATTGTATTGATTATCTTTTTCAACCTATAACTGCATTTGTGCTTCAAACCCTACTTGCAAAACTTGTTCCTAGATTAATGCAACTTCTTACTAATATATGATCATTTTAAAACAGAGATGGAAGATCTCAAACAATTTGCTAAAAGCCAAGGTGCCCCAGAAGCTGATAGTCTGGAACAATGGGACAGATTGTTTTGGTCTGAAAGGCTTCGCGAATCGAAATTCAATATACACGAGGTTTTCCCTATAAAGCTTCTTTATTGTCGGTTTACTATGTGATGATAAGTTTCTCTCCTTCTACTATTGGAATTTCAGAATCATCTAAACATTATGTGATTTTTTTCGGAAGTAATAAGCATAAGTGTTTTTTTAAATCTTTTTTACGAATCTAACTTCATCAGTCTATTGTATTGGCAGGGAGATATTCGTCCTTACTTTTCATTTCCTAATGTGATGGATGGTCTATTCAAACTTGTCAAAAGGCTTTTTGGGATCAAGTTTGAGGCTGCTGATGGTTTATGTCAAGTAATGAATTCAACTATTTCTTATATTCTTTTCCCTTTATTGTTATCAATATTTATAGTTCCAAGACAACTAATAACAATGGCTTTCTATAATTTGCATTGGTACTTAGGTCTGGGACAAGGAGGTCAAATTTTACTGCGTCAAGGATTCTTTAGGCTCAACCGTTGGCTTTTGTTACTTTGATCCATATTCACGACCATCTGAAAAGCAAGAAGGTGCTTGGAATGTTTCTTTTGTCTTTAGGAGTCGAGCAATGTCACCTGATGGTATGTCTCCTAGGCTACCTGTCGCGACCGTTGGGACCAATCTGATGCCCCCTATGGATAACAAGCCAAGCCTCTTAACATTCGAAGATGTGAGCTCATTTTTCATTCTCAATATTTAAAAAGTTTTGTGCATAATAATCATGTTCCAATGTAGATAGATGAATATATGCTTACACTATTTTCTTACCATAATTGAAGGTCAAGATTGTGTTTCACGAATTTGGCCATGCTCTTCAGCACATTCTAGTAAGAGAAGATGAGGGTTTAATTTCTAGTCTCCGGGGCATCGAGCACGATGCTTGGGAAATACCCTCTCAATTTATGGAAAATTGGTGCTATCATAGGTATGTATATTTTTGTTTACATGTTTTGATTCTCTTTCTTTTTTTTTTTGTACGTTTTGGGGTGGCACAATTGAATTTTGAACTCAATTGTATGCGTTCAATTTGATATGTATGTTTCTGGATGCTTAAAAAAATATTAATAAGTTCCATAAATGCTGAATTGATGGATTTTTCTTGTGTTATGTTGCAACTAGAAGATACGTGTAGTTGTATCTTAATAATAATTTTGATTTACGTTGATTTTAGGGAAACCTTAATGAGTATCACCAAGCATTATGAATCAGGAGAAACTCTCCCAGAAATCATGTATGAGAAGCTCGTTGAAGCTAGAACATTTGGAGCTGGCACTCAATTTCTCTTGAAGGTTTGCGTTTCACACTATTAAATTTTATATTATCATTGGTTACGAACTAAAAACTTTCATTTTTTGCTATAAATAAATTTGTGCATGGTTGATCTTTTGTAATTTTATTATGTTTTATTATGTTTCAGCTAGGAGTTTCAAGTCTTGATCTTGAGTTGCATGCAAATTATGCACCTGGTGGTTCAGAAACAGTCATTGATGTAGAGCGTAGAATCATGGGAAGACATCAAGTCTTTCCTTTGTTATCATATACTCGTTATATATGTTTTTTCTTTCATATATTTGCGGGTGGGTATGAAGCTGGTTGTTATGGTTACCAGGTAATGGAATTTACTCATCGGCCTTCGTCAAAGAGTCTATAGAACTTCGAGTTTTTAATCACTAACTTAGAAGGGATCTACTCATATTTGTGGTTTGCACTAATCATATTAATTTTTTTTTCCTTTTTGGTGGTTTTTTCTCGTCTTCATTGCAGTGGGCAGAGGTCTTCTCAGCCGATGCGTTCTCAGCATTTGAAGGCGTTGGATTTGATAATGAAAAGGTTCATGCGAAACTAATAAAAAATTAAAATCAAAAGAAATACCAGATTTTTTTTTTTTTTTAAAAAAAGATGAATAATTTTCAACTTCTATCATTGCTTACCGCGGTACATGCCAGAATTCTCACTTTCATGTCCTTATGATGATATTTGCATGATTCAATAAACAGGCCATTGAAGAAACTGGGAAACGATTTCGAGAAACAATTCTTGGATTTGGAGGAGGGAAGACTGCTTCACAGGTGAAAACTAGACAACATTCCTTGTTCACTTTTTTATTTTTGTTTTTTTTTTTTCCCTTCATATCTCAGATCAGTAGAACATGAAAGTGATAGGAATGTTTTTCTTCATTTTCTTGATTGTTTGTTGCCCAGGTTTATCTAGAATTCCGAGGACGTGAGCCGTCTCTGGAGGCTTTGATCAGGCATAATGGTTTATTGGTAGTTGAAGGCAGCACTGATTTCGCCTAGGATTCAAGAAGTATTTAACTAATTAAAGTTGTTTGTAAACTGCGAGAGGATTGCAACTTTGATTTGAATGTAATACTTTCCCCAGATGGTATAACCTTACCTACTTTTATTTCATTCTTGAAATAAACATCAAATCTCACATTTTGGTTATCGGACACCTGTTTGAGAATGACAAGCTACTAAAAGTTTAATTTTAACATGTATGGACTGTTAAAGCCTAAAAACACACCATCGAGGTTATCAAATGAGATTATTAGGTTATTAAATGTTGATTACTCGCGGGCTATCTTCAAAACATTATACTTTAATAACTTGTACTCCCTCCGTTCCATAATTATTGTCCACTTTGCCCAAAAAAATTTTGTCCCAAAATTATTGTCCAATTTGACATTTTATGGATCAAGTTACACATTTGTCCTTAGTAAAAAATTTTATCCATAAAATCTTAGTGGTTAAACAATTACTTATGTAGGGGTATATCCGGTTGTTTAAGGTAAAATATAGTTAAGTTTGACCAAAAAATAAAATCTTTCATTTTAGTAAAACTGAACAATAATTATGGGACGGAGGGAGTATGTCACATTTATAGTTTCAATGCATCCCTATAAACATTCAGTCTATAGTATTTACATTGTTCATTTTTCATAGACTAGCTAATTAATCTTTATTTGACAAGGTTTTATGAGATTTAATTGAATCTATATTTTAATTTAGAGTGAACCTCAAAACGGGTCATTGAATTATTAGGTAATTCTAATACAAATCATGTATCAACTTTATTTGTATAACAGGTCCCCTTACTAAGCAAAAAATTCATCTAAGATCATTCTGTTAATTTTGGCCATTAAATAGTGACGGAAATCCATTTTTCACATGTTTTTGGGTTTAGGGATATTTTTGTCATTTTATATTTTTAAAATTTTATATTTTTGAAAAAATTATTATTATATTTCTTTTTTTTTTTTTAATAATTCTTCTTCTTATACTTCCTAACTTGTATATATTGGTAGTATAATTCGAAATTTCAAAAACTCATTTTAATTTTGTATTTTAACTTCTAGATTATAAATTTTTTTTTAAAAAAAATTAAGAAATGAAGAAGAAACATTCGAGTTAAAGTAAACATAAAATTAATAGTTTACCATTTTAAACTAAAAGAAAAACTAAAAGAATTAGCTAAGACAAGTTGTTTCTTCTAGGTTATTTAATTTTTTTAACTCGATTTAATCATTTAATTATTAATTTTCATGTTTACTTCAATTTGAATTTCTCTTATTTATTTTTTTTATAAACTAGAAGTTAAATTACAAATGAAAAATTAATTTTTAAAATTTAATAATGATGCTAGTAGTAACATATTTAAGTTAAGAAGCAAAAGAAGAAGAATCGTAACAAAAAATAATTAAAATATTAATATTTTAAAATTACATATATAAATTGATGAAATTGCCCCTGAACCCAAAATAAGGAGAAAAATAGCTTTCTTTCACGATTTAAGTCCCAGAATAACCTAGGGAAAACAACTTCTCTTAGGGGAAAAAAATTTATAATCTAGAAGTTAAAATACAAAATTTAAATTAATTTTTGAAATTTAGAAATTATACTACCAGCATATACATGTTAGGAAGTATAAGAAGAAGAATTATAAAAAATAAAAATTAAAAAAAAATGAAAATGACAAAAACAAAAATGCCCCTCAACCCAAAAGCATGTGAAAATTGGAATTCCGTTACTATTTAATGGTCAAAATTAACAGAATGATCTCGGATGGGTTTCTTGCTTAGTAAGGTAACCTGTTATACAAATAAATTAGATTGATGACCTGTATTAGAATTACCTAATAGTTCAATAACTAGTTTTGAGTTTCACTCTAGACGTAGTACCAGAGTAACTAAACCTCCTAGTAGTTAGAAGATTTTGTGAGAATTCCTTATTGTTCTCATATTTTTTATACCTTTCATGACTTTTGTATGCCTTTTTTTTTTTTTTCTTCTGATAAGCATGCATATTTCTTACAAATACATCTGATATCCCAAAACCATCTAGTTATAACAATGTGAGAACTAATGAAAATTTGCAGGAAGCTATGAGATTGGAATTATAGGTTTTGGAGAGAAATGATACGTGGATTTTGACAGATCTTCCACCAGGCAAAAAGGAAGTTGGATGCAAATCGGTCTACAAGGTGAAATTCAAACATGATATAAAGCTTGAATTGTGGAAAAAAAAGTTATAAACAAGTTGAACGCGAAGATTTCATTGAGAAGACCTCTCCTGTAGCTAAGACTGTCACAGTAAAGATTATCATTGCTCTTGCAGCTTGTAGAAATTGGTGCCTTCATCAATTGGATGTAAATAAAGCCTTCCTACAAGGAGGGTTCGAAGAAGAAGTCCACATGTTACCACCACCTCATTATAATCTTGCTAAAAAAAGATAAGTGTGTAAGCTCAATAAGTCCCTTTATGGGCTCAAGCAAGCTTCTAGGATGTTGAATACATAACTAATTGAGACTTTGACTTCTTATGGTTTCAATCGGTCTTCTTATAATCATTGCTTATTCATCAGCAAGAACAAGTTTTTCAAGCTCTATTGGTCTACGTGAATGACATACCCATCACAGGATCACATGAAACTGAAGTTCTTAAAGTGAAGAAATTTTTGGATGATCGTTTTACCATTAAAGATTTGGGTTCAGCCAAGTACTTTCTTGGTATGGAATTAGCATGATCTGAACAAGGTTTTTGCACCAGTCAAAGGAAACACGTCTTGGATCATTTAGGGGATGCTAGCATGTTAAATTGTAAACCATTTAGTACTCTTTTTCCTAAAGACCCATGATTTCCTGAAGTACTCCAACTCAATAAAAAAGATTTGTGGGGAGGTTTTTATATCTGAATTATACTAGTCTTGATCCACACACTGTGTCTAGCAATAGAATAAATTTTTACACCTTCCACCTGCTTCTCACTGGCAAGTAGCACAACATGTTCTTTGCGGAAAAAATAGCGTTCCTATCCAAAACTTATCCCTCGTCGTTAATTTTACCCAATACATTTTCAATTAGTCAATTTTACCCTAATGTTTGAAATTTTTACCAATTTTGTCCAATCGTGCAATTTTCCGTCCAAGTTAACGGATCTCCATTAATTTATTAATAATACAAACACCTCAATAATTTTTTAAAAATATAAAAATAATCCCTGAATTGTATAAAAATAACAAAACAGTTTATTGTTAATTTTTTGTTTTATTTTTCTCTATTTCATTCTATTTCTTTTTAATATTTTGGGTAGGAAAGCCAATTTTTTCCTGTTCTTTGCTATCCATCAAGATATGATGTCCTCATCAAGGGCTTTTCTATTTTAAGAGTATTGGTTTGCATATGCTGATTGGGAAGCATGCAGAACCAGTAAAAGATATCTTAGTGGCTATTGCATATTTCTTGGATCAAATTTGGTATCTTGGAAGACTAAGAAACAAAGCACAATCTCACGTTTTACTATAGTATCAGAATACTGTGCCAAGGTCATACTAGTCTGAGGAACAATGGATGAGCTATATACTTCGTGACCTGGATATCTCTGTGACAATCAAGCTGCCCTATATATCACCAAAAATCAAGTTTTTTACAAAAGAAAAAGCACATCGAAATTGATTGTCATGTTGTTCGTGACCAATATAAAGTTGGGTTCCTCAATCCTATGCATATTGCTTCCTCTGATAATCTTGCTGATTTATTTACAAAGCCTCTATCTCCTATTGTCTTTGCTCATCTACTGTCCAAACTTAGCATGTGGTTGCCTTCCCACACTGAGCTTGAAGGGGGATATGGAAATATAGAGCAAATCACACGCATGATTCGAATTTTTTGCATCACAAGTCACTGGTTAACTCTTCAACTTTCCCTCCATGCACATCAGGTGAATCACATATTTCCCGCCTACAGCAACATTGAAGAGGTAGCTTACTGGGACGTGCCTCAAACTCCAACAACCAGAAGCAAGTTGCAAACATCTCTGTTGTGCTGAAGCTACGGAATCAACAAAATCCGCGTCAAGAATCGTCCTAGAAGGTTCATGAACCACCTTAAAGATTGCTTGGAGGCTACCCTTAGTCCTTGCAGTTTAAATATTTCTCGGTTAGTTAGATCAATTAATGAAAAGGTTCCGGAATGAGGACTTCGTTGTAAATAGATTAGAATGCAGATTAGAGGCTCTATAAATGGAATCAGTTTCACATATTGTAAATTATAGTTTGAAAGTCATTACAAGAAAAGTAAAAAATGGCCATTGCTTTTCAGTCCTTTCCTCCTTCCTTTTTGATTTCGTTTCAGTTTCTGATTACGTTAGCTTAAATCAAATTGAAATCCAAGTGGAAAGGCACCAAGACGAGTTTCCTATAGAAATCCAAACAATCTTCGCATCTTGTATCCATTTTGGTTAGAATACAACACATCATGTTCAGGAAAAAAAAATAATAATAAAAATATAACACATCATTAAGGAAACAATTTACTTAATTATTATGGTTACCTTTGAGAAGTCTAGGTAGATGGAATGATAAGGCTGGTGTGTGGAAGTTTGGATTATTAGTTATTACAATTAAAAAGAAAAATGAAGAAATGTAAAAGCTAATCCAAGTGGAAAGGAACACATTGTAGAAACTTGCAGGATTTAGTTTACATTTTGATCCACACATCATATATATTCTTCAATATTAGGGAAGTATATCATAGACAATTTAAATAATTAACACAACACTCTATAGCTTTTAAACTACTTATACATATATATATATATATAATATAATATAAATCTTGGTAGGAAATTGATAAATTATTGTTATTTACAAACATGATGCATCAATTAGGCCAATCCTTCTTGAATTCATCAAACAAACACTGCCTACGTCTTAAAAATAATTATTTTATTTGGACTTTCACTCATATTACAACTTTATTAAATAAATAAAAATTTAGACACGGATAATATTATTTTGA